ATTAAATTAATTATCTTAATTAATTAATTTTTAATCTTCTATTTGCCTTAATCTTGTTTAAAAAAAATCAAAAGTTATATCTTTTATTTCAATTTCGCACAAAACTTTCATGTTTAAGCACTTTAGTCCAAAAGTTTCAAACTTTTTCAAATTAGTCCTCTATTTTTATTTTAATCAAATCAGTCTATTTAATTTTTATTTGTGTTTATTGTGCATGCATGTTCTTGATTTTGTCTATTTCAGTCCAAAATAAAAAAAAATGTTTCGATTTGGTTTATCTTTTTTTTTTTAAGTTTGCTTATTAAGACTCAAACATAAATATAATAAATAAGTTGAATTAAAACCCCAATTTTAAAGTATGTAACCGTGTTTAAACGGAGGATTGTGAGGTGCGCATATGTCCTTCCTCACTTCTAACCGAACCCTCGAATCCCGATCTCTGCGCAGACCCGTTTTAGGTGACTTGTCCCACCTTATAATTTGGACGAGTAGCGACTCCCTTTCTTATATTTTTCACACTTAACATAAGTTTTCATTATTTTGAAATCTTAAGTGGTCGTCAACAGATTGGCAACTCCACTGGGGACTGAATCCAGAATCTTTGGTTTCCATATTCTGGGTTCATGAGGGTCGAGCTAATACTTTAACTTTGGGGAAATTTTCAGCTTTTGATTTTCTTTGTTTGTTGAGTCTTTGTTAGTCTTTGTCGTTTGTTTCATGTGCTTGTGATGTGGTGCTTGTTGCTTGTTTGCTTATCATTTTGGTGGTTGCTTTTATTGTTCTTGCCTTTGAGTAATTATCTTGTCATATCATGACATGCATTATACCTTGCTCACATGTTCATGCATCATATCATCTCACATGCTCATCCATCATTGATGTTATATGCTTATTCACCATGCATCATGCTTACATGCTTGTTTGCTTGTGTGTGGATATACTCACCTTTTACACTTGGCTATGGAGTACTCAGTGAGTTTCTTCCCTCTTGTGCGATTATTTATATCTTGTTGCATGCTAAGTGTTGGTTGCTTTGCATTACTAACCTTTTGCATTTGTCATAGGAGTACTAGGTGAGTCCCTTCCTGCTGTGTAAGTAGGTGTGTTTGTGGATGCTACATCTGTTGAGTGTTTTATATGCTTTACTTAATTGCGGTGGGATATATGTTGTTATTTTTGTGGTTGTCATTGTGTAGGTTATCGAAGTGTCATGCCCCTTGCACACACTCACTCTCATTTTGCATTAGGTCTATGTCGGAGGTGAACCTGACCTCTAGTCTAGAATCCTTACGAATCTAGCTTGGAAGAGCAATTTTTCCCGCTTTGAGTAGTAAGATTGGTTCTTGTTAGGTTGTTTCCATTGGTTAATATGACACCTAATGATGTAATATCGTCCTGTGTATTAGCTTTTAGAAATATCTCCCATTGATTCTGAAAAGATAAATGGTTGAGAAGGCCTAATGCCCTTTAGGAAAGCATGTAGTGAACTTAAAGAGAAGCCACCCATAGGACTTGTCAGCCTAGAAAGCCACCAATGAGGTTAAGATTCTCGTGTTTAGGTACACGAAAGGGCATTTTACATCTTACCTTACTTTCTGCACTTGCAAGTGTTCATTAAGTCAACCGTGTCAAATTTCATGACATCCATAACATTCATTCATTCCATGCACTTTGCATTTTCACTTTCTACTCAATACTACATGAAACCATTCACTTTGGCACTTTCACTTTCTATTCCATACATCAAAAAAAAAAAAAAATTGCATAATTGTTTTACATGTCATACGCCCATTCCATTCATTTCACATTAAATCTTCCATTTATCATCAACCTTGCACATGTCATATGTCTATTGTATCACATTTGCCATCTCATGCATCACAAATATGTTTTCATGTTCATTTCACATTCTCCATTCAATTCGTTTTACATTTCATTTTTCATCTCATATTTCACAAAATTTCCAAAAAAAAAAAAAAAAAAAGGAAAAATGAAATTCCACCCATATTCATTACATTACATCTTCCATCTCACATATATATATAAAACTGCATAAAAAAAATCTCATTCATTTTCACTTCACATTGCATTTTCCATCTCACATTTTATTTTAAGCATTACTATCTCCATCTCATATTTCTCATGTTTCATACAAAAAAAAAAATTGCATAAAAAAATGAAAATCTCATCTATGTTTAGTTCACATTACATTTCCCATTCCATTTTTCATTGCAACCCATATTCAACCTTACATCACATCTTCCATCTCACATCAAATTGACATTCATCTCATGCTCATTTTCTCTTTTGAATAAAGTTAAATTTGGTGCCCATATTTTCTTTTTTTCAATTAAGTCCTTCAAGTCATGATTTTCTACAAAAATTGTCCAAACTCTCATTCAAAGACATTCTCACCATTTGACATTTTTTACATGAAATTCACACTTGCATGTTTCAAACTTTTTGGCCTTATCCAATTAAATCCAAAGCATTTCACATTTTGTTAAAAAAAATATATAAGAATCTTTTTTTTTTTTCAAACTTCATGACATTTGCTCTTTTCACCGAAAAGGACTAAATTGAACTTCACCAAAATATGTAGACCAAATTTACATTGTACTACAAAATTTTCATCATCCTTGCATGTACATTAATTCAAGCAAAAAAATTTTTTTTTTTCAAATTCAATTCTCTTATTACTTTAGTTCACTTTTTTCTTTTTTTGATTGCCTTCAAAATTGCTCACAAGAAGTAAGTTTGTTTTATATGCTCGCAATTCTATAGTTCCTCAATCTAAATCACAAGCAATGACAAGTCCTCAACAAAACTTGCAATGCAATGATCAAGTTCAAACCTAAAGGACTCTTGAAGTAATGATCTATGTTAGTTATCTTTGTTTTCCTATCATTTGTAGTATGTGTAAATCAAAACCCATCATTGATTCTGCCCAAAATCATGGTTGGAGTTGAAAATGGCCTTAATTTCATCAAAATTTTCTATATGTTTGACATGTTCTAAATGTTACTCTTAATTGAAGATGATGTCAAAAATTCATCTCCTCTCTTCCTTACTTCCTCATCTTTCATGTTTTCATAATTCCATTACACAACTTCCTTACTCATTTCTTATTCAAATAATTCCTTGCTTCTTGATGGATTAAGTCTCTTCTTTCTAAGGATATGTTGATGATATCTGAATTCAAGGTCTAAGATTTGGGCAATGATGCAAAAAAAAAAAAAAAAAAAAAAGAAGAAAAGAAAAAAGAG